TTGACATTAGCGTTGGCCATTGATCTACAAGACATATTTGCAAAGGTTTTAGACTAAGTTCATGATAATAAAGTTCTAATCAAATTATGAACTCCCACTTAGATTAGACATCCCTCTAGTCATCTAAGTGTTACACGATCCGAGTCGACTAGCCCGTGTCCGATCATCACGTGAGACGGACTAGTCATCGTCGGTGAACATTCTCATGTTGATCGTATCTTCCATACGACTCGTGTTCGACCTTTCGGTCTCCGTGTTCCGAGGCCATGTCTACACATGCTAGGCTCGTCAAGTTAACCCTAAGTGTTTTCGCTGTGTAAAACTGTCTTACACCCGTTGTATGTGAACGTAAGAATCCATCACACCCGATCATCACGTGGTGCTTAGAAGCGACGAACTGTAGCAACGGTGCACAGTTAGGGGAGAACACTTCTTGAAATTTTATAAGGGATCATCTTATTTACTACCGTCGTCCTAAGTAAACAAGATGCATAATACATAATAAACATCACATGCAATTATATAGTTGTGACATGATATGGCCAATATCATATAGCTCCATTGATCTTCATCTTCGGGGCTCCATGATCATCTTGTCACCGGCTTGACACCATGATCTCCATCATCGTGTCTTCATGAAGTTGTCACGCCAATGACTACTTCTACTTCTATGACTAACGTTTAGCAATAAAGTAAAGTAGTTTACATGGCGTTATTCAATGACACACAGGTCATACAAAAAATAAAGACAACTCCTATGGCTCCTGCCGGTTGTCATACTCATCGACATGCAAGTCGTGAATCCTATTACAAAGAACATGATCTCATACATCACAATTCATCATTCATCACAACTTCTGGCCATATCACATCACATGATCAATCGCTGCAAAAACAAGTTAGACGTCCTCTAATTGTTGTTGCATCTTTTACGTGGCTGCAATTGGGTTCTAGCAAGAACGTTTTCTTACCTACGAATCACCACAACGTGATTTTGTCAACTTCTATTTACCCTTCATAAGGGCCCTGTTCATCGATTCCGCTCCAACTAAAGTGGGAGAGACAGACACCCGCCAGCCACCTTATGCAACTAGTGCATGTCAGTCGGTGGAACCGGTCTCACGTAAGCGTACGTGTAAGGTTGGTCCGGGCCGCTTCATCCCACAATACCGTTGAGCAAGAAAAGACTAGTAGAGGCAAGTAAGATGACAAAATCCACACCCACAACAAAATTGTGTTCTACTCGTGCAAAGAGAACTACGCATAGACCTAGCTCATGATGCCACTGTTGGGGAACGTTGCAGAAAATTAAAAATTTTCCTACGGTTTCACCAAGATCCATCTATGAGTTCATCTAAGCAACGAGTCAAGGGAGAGAGTTTGCATCTACATACCACTTGTAGATCGCGTGCGGAAGCTTGCAAGGTGATGATGTAGTCGTACTCGACGTGATTCGAATCACCGATGACCAAGTGCTGAACGGAAAGCACCTCCGCGTTCAACACACGTACGGGATGGGAGACGTCTCCTCCTTCTTGATCCAGCAAGGGGGAAGGAGAGGTTGAGGAAGACAGCTCCACCGGCAGCACGACGGCGTGGTGATGGTGGAGAGGCAGTACTCCGACAGGGCTTCGCCAAGCACACAACAGAGGAGGAGAGGTGTTGGGGAGGGGAGGGCTGCGCCTTGGAGGGTGGTTCGGCTGCCCTCTCCTCACCCCTCTATTTATAGGGGGAAGGGAGAAGGGGGCCGGCCCCCTAGAACCCATCTAGGGGGGGTGCGGCGGCCTAGGGGAGAGGGGAGAGGGTGGCTTGCCCCCCAAGCCAAGGGGGGCGCCCCCTCTAGGGTTCCCCCCTCAACCCTAGGCGCATGGGCCCAAGGGAGGGGGTGCGGCCAGCCCACCAGGGGCTGGCTCCCTGCCACACGCAGCCCATGTGGCCCCCCGGGAGGGGTGGCCCCTCCCGGTGGACCCCCGGAACCCTTCCGGTGGCCCCGGTACAATACCGGTATGACCCCGAAACTTCCCGGTGTCCGTTTGACAACTTCCCATATATAAATCTTTACCTCCGGACCCTTCCGGATCTCCTCGTGACGTCCAGGATCCCATCCGGGACTCCGAACAACATTCGGTAGTCACATACTAGTCTTCCTAATAACCCTAGCGTCACCGAACCTTAAGTGTGTAGACCCTACGGGTTCGGGAGACATGCAGACATGACCGAGACGCTCTCAGTCAATAACCAACAGCGGGATCTGGATACCCATGATGGCTCCCACATGCTCCTCGATGTTATCATCGGATGAACCACGATGTCGAGGATTCGATCAAACCCTGTATGCAATTCCCTTTGTCAATCGGTACGTTACTTGCCCGAGACTCGATCGTCGGTATCCCAATACCTTGTTCAGTCTCGTTACCGGCAAGTCACTTTACTCGTACCGTAATGCATGATCCCGTGTCCAACACCTTGGTCACATTGAGCTCATTATGATGATGCATTACCGAGTGGGCCCAGAGATACCTCTCCGTCATACGGAGTGACAAATCCCAGTCTCGATCCGTGTCAACCCAACAGCTACTTTCGGAGATACCTGTAATGCACCTTTATAGTCACCCAGTTATGTTGTGATGTTTGATACACCCAAGGCACTCTTACGGTATCCGGGAGTTACACGATCTCATCGTCGAAGGAAGAGATACTTGACACTGGCAAAGCTCTAGCAAAACGAACTACACGATCTTTTATGCTATGCTTAGGATTGGGTCTTGTCCATCACATCATTCTCCTAATGATGTGATCCCGTTATCAACGACATCCAATGTCCATAGTCAGGAAACCATGACTATATGTTGATCACAACGAGCTAGTCAACTAGAGGCTCACCAGGGACATATTGTGGTCTAAGTATTCACACGTGTATTATGATTTCCGGATAATACAGTTATAGCATGAATAAAAGACATTTATCATGAACATTGAAATATAATAATACTTTTATTATTGCCTCTAGGGCATATTTCCAACATCCGCTATACGTCGAATCCGGCTTATGGTCTATCTCGACCCCACATATTTTCATCCCTATCTCTCTGGACCAAATCCTAGTTACTCCACTTCACCCCTCTTCATCCTCAAGCTCCTATCCAGCAAACTCCAGCCTTCTTCGGCATGGCGTGCGGTAGATTCGACTTCGAGATCTTCCGGTTTGCTCGTTGTTGGGAACGACGAGGAGCACTGCCGGGCCCGGGCATCGAGGAGAAGCGTTGTCGTGGCTGGAGACGACCTATAGGACGAAAAAAAGGAAAAAATAAGTTCGCCGGAATCTCACCAAAGATGGTGGTGGGAGGGAGGCGGGGCTGAGGGAAGGCGCCACAGGCAGTGGGCACCGAGATGGGTGGCGGTGGCAGTGTCCATGGCCCACATGCGACACTATTCATTTCTCATTTTTACCGAGAAGTGGTTTTCCTACAGAAAAATGGGAAAATATCATACGGAAACCAACATTCGATTGAAACCGGTAAAAACCACAAGGAAAATATGTTTTGAAGTTTAAAAAAAACTGAAATAAATACGGGATGTTAAGAGGATGATGTTTTATTGCCACGCTAAATTTCAAGTTGAAACACATTACAAGATGCGACCTATGAAAAAGAGAAAATCAGCACTGAATAGTGCTAAACAGTTTGTCGGCACTATTCAGGGCTGATTTTGTCTTTTTCATAGATCACGTCTCGTAAGGGCATGTACAATGCATAACCTTAAGGTGATGCCTCGCATGCCATGTAGGATCGGATATGACGTAAAGTAGGTTCGGATAGGGAAGCGGGATCCTCTTTAGGAGGCGGGTGCTTGAAGAGAAAAAGTGTGGTCCGGTGACAAAAGCTGAAAAGATTGAATGAAAAGTAGAGATGCATGTGTACTAAAGTCCTTATTTTCTATTTCTTAATTAGGCCCACTAGTAGTAGCTTGCATTGGGGAGAAAAAATAAATGTAGATGCCTCAAATTACTTTTTGTCATGGGGCATATGTATCCATATGCCACCATTGTACATGCCCTAATGTGTTTCAACTTGAAATTTTATGTGGCCATAAAACATCACCCTCTTAGGGCATGTACAATGCATAGCCTCAAGATGATACCTCGCATGCCATGGGATCGGATATGATGTAAAGTAGGTTCAGATAGGGAAGCGGGATCCTCTCTACGAGGCGGTTGCTTGAAGAGAAAAAGTGTGGTCCGATAACAAAAGCTGAAAAGCTTGGAGTGAAAAATAGAGATGCATGTGTACTAGAGTCTTTATTTTCTATTTCTTAATGAGGCCCACTAGTGATAGCTTGCATTGGAGAGAAAAAATTAATATAAGTGCCTCAAATTACTTTTTGTCATGGGACATATGTATCTATATGCCACCATTGTACATACCCTTAACATCCCGCATTTTCTTTAGATTTTTTTCGAAACTTTAAAATGTGGTTTTCACGAAGTTTTTATTGAATATTGGTTTTCGTATGACATTCTTCATAAAAATAGGCTAGGAGGTTGAGCTTTGAGGAATCAAAATCCATGATTTTAAGAAACTAAACATTTGAGGGATCTGTTAGATAGAAGTAGCACTTTTTTTTTGAACTTAGATAGGAGTAGCACTTAAATCCCTCAAAAGATAATTTCCCCCTTAAATTAAGCTATCGAGGGCTCTGCTAGAAATACTCTTAGCAATGTATTCATACTTTCTGCAAGTAACTAGTTAATTAAGGAGAAAAATTATAATTACAGCTCGCCAAATCTCAATGGGCACTCGGTCAAGAACAAAGAGACGACTTTTTTTTACATACACCGGAAGATTCGCCGCGTGGCGGTGTGACGGTGTCAATTCTCTAACCACCCCTAGAATAATGCAAGTGCCTTGCGGCTGGCGGGCACACCGGCCGTCGTGACCCCGTCCACATGACGATCGATGGAGGCACGCGCACCAACTCACATCGACCAACCGCCGGCTCCATTAGTCAACGTACGCGCTGCAGAATTTCCTGATCTCCCCGTTGCCGCCGGTGAGCACCTCCATCCTGCCCATGTTGATCATGGCGGCGGCGTAGTCCTCGAAGTACTCCTCCGTCGACTCGGCGGCCGCCATCCTCGCCACGTAGTCCCTCGTCCACCTGTCGTCGAGCAGCGCCTGGTCGGAGACGAACAGGGTCTTGTTGCTGAGCACGTCCCGGTAGTAGCTGAGGTCGAACTCGTAGGGGCTCTTGGGGTCCATGTCGACGAGCGTTTCGTCTTCCTTGTTCCCTGGCTCGCACCTCTCCCGCAGCTCCGGGGCGTACGCCTTGTCCAGCGTCGGGTCCTGCACCCCTAGGCCGCTGTTGTTGTAGAGCCGGTCCGGCGCGAACGCCGCGCACTGCGCCCTCCCGATCGTGTGGCTCCCCGACAGCACCACCAGGTCCTTCCACGACAGGTTCTTCACGCTGAAGTAGGTTTTCAGGTCCACGATGTTGGCGTGCGGCGGCGCCAGGTCGTTCTCGGCGTCGATGCACAGGGACACCTTGCCGTCCCGGCGCCCGGTCTCCACCGGGAACCGTGGCCCGTTGCTCTGGAAGAAACAAGGAGGCAGTCTGGTGGTCAGCTAAAATGAAAGCCTGAGAAAATCCATGGAGGACATGAAAGGGGGGATTATTGATCTGCTTAAATTACCAGGTACACGGCGTCCCGCGCGGCCATGATGATGATGTCTGCGCAGGACACGGTGAGCGGGCACTCGTCCTCCAGCTTCGCCTTGATCCTCTCGACCTCATCGAAGCCGCGGAGGCTGTAGCTCATCGGCATGGCGTCCCTCTCCCCCTTCTTGCTCCTCGATTTCAGCATGATCGACCCGTCGCACCCCTGCAGACCACGCATCCAGTTCAAGTTAAGCGAAACACATTCAGACGACCCGTGCACGCGACGCGGCACGGCACGGCAAAGAAGCAGCGCAGCACGCACCCTGACGAAGCAGTCGTGGAAGAGAAGCCGCAGCAGCGCCGGGCCGAGGGTCCGGTCCTCGTGGACGATGTCCCGCATCTCCTCCAGCACCAGCTCCTCCGCTTTCGGGCACGTCTTGTTGTAGAACCCGATGGCGAGCCCGGCGGCGGCGGGGTCCGTGGGGCCCGGCACCGGCATGGCGCTCGCGACGGCCGCGAGGATCAGCAGCCTGAGGAGCACGTCCAATGCCATCCGACCGGACCGGAGGAACAGAGCCGAATCGAGTCGTCGACGAGCGAGGTTGCTTGGTCGTGACGGGGGGAAGCAGCTGCTCAGGAGGCGTTGAAACTTAACTCGGGTCAGCCGGGAACTCACGGAAGGGGAAGAGATCAAGAGAAGGAGATTAAATTTGCTGGCCGGCGTCGACCGCCCGAGCATGAAAACCCCGGAGCCGGAATGGCGAGAATAAAGAAAGAGTTGGAGAGGCACGGGTGGGTTGGCGATCGCTGTCGAGAAGCTCGGAATTCGCAAGTTAGTTAAAAACTGAGGCGGACAATGGCTGGCTAGCACAGCTGGGAACGGGAATGGGGTGTTGGAGGCTACGCGCAAAGGCGAGCAGAAGGAAACAAAAATTCCCCCCATTTCACGCGGCGCATGAGACTGGACTGGAGGCGCGAGTGCGCCGAGCAGATTGGTTCCGCGTCTGGACTGGATGGCGGTCGTGGATGCGGGCTTTTGCGCTTGTCAACGCACGCTGTTCACACGCCATACTCGGCCGACTACGAGATAGCTTTTCTGCACATCGATGAATAGTTGAACATGGCAGTGCATATATGAAGGCAAGATTGACGAACCGATCGATGCATTTGTAGAGGCATAAAAGCATCTAATGGGAAGTGAGCTGACCAAATGAACAAACAAATATTCAGGCGCATGCATTTTAACTGGTCTCTGGTGGCTGTGCTGACCAGGGGCAGTTGGCGTGTAGCACGGGCGGAGGACAGGCTGCGGAGGCATACGCTTCTTCGTGGTAAGCTACTCCACCTGCCGGTTATCGCTGTTTACGCAAACTAGAACTTGTCAAGGTCAAAGCACAGTGCTGTGTTTAACGGAACCCAATAGTAGAAACAGACGGCCATACTTCTTTTTTTTTAAAAAAAAAGAAGGATGACCCCCGACCTCTGCATCTGAGAAATGTATGCGGCTATTTTATTGATTATTCTCGAGGACCTTACAAAGTAGAACAACAATATGCCTAAATTCGCCATCTTGGCAACATCTACCGCTACTCGTATCCAAATGATAAAGGGGTGCAAGCTAGGCCACATATCCAGACCTCTCACCTAATCCTAACATCTAAAGACAGAGGCCCCGATCGAGCCATCTGCCGGGTCCAGGGCACAAACCGGTTCGACGCACTCACATGTGTCGTCGCCGCCATCTTCCACTCGTCCATCTTCGAAGCAGATTGAGGTGACAACCTTGGCAGGTCCTCCGCCATCGATGCCACCACGACGTCAAACGACGACCTCCACCTACGCGAGCCTTGGCAAGTCCTCCATCATTGACGCCACCACGACGCCAGCCGACGACCTCCACCTACGCGAGTCCATCTCCAAACAACAGACATAAATCCATGCTAGGATAGGGCCGCACCACCGCCGTCGCCCACCACCCACAAGCGCCACCCAACCCCAAGGTTCCCAAAGCGGCGCCTTCAAGAAGGGAAGAGCGCCGCCGCTGCCCAACAAAGTTAGGGCTTTCGCCCGGGAGACCCAGGGGAAGGTGAATTGAGGAGATCAGTCCATACCGACGCCTTCAAGAAGAGGAACGGCGCCCTCAGGCGGCGCCGTTGGCGTGGCCGGTCATGGCCGGCCAGGGGTTTCGCCCGAACTAGGTCCCTGATACGTCTCCAACGTATGTACTTTTCCTAACGCTTTTCCTTTTGTTTTGGACTCTAATTTGCATGATTTGAATGAAACTAACCCCGGACTGACGCTGTTTCCAGCAGAACTACCATGGTGTTGTTTTTGTGTAGAAATAAAAGTTCTCGGAATGGAACAAAACTTTGCGAGGATTTTTTAGATCAATAATAAGAATTTCTGGAGTCAAGACCCACCAGAGGAGGGCACCTGGGTGAGCACAACCCACCAGGGTGCGCCCCCCTCTCCTGGCGCGCCCAGGTGGGTTGTGCCCACCTGGTGGCCCCGCAGACCCTGAAACCAATGCTATAAAATCCTATTTTTCCAGAAAAAAATCAGAGAGAAAGAATTATCATGATCCACGAGACGGAGCCGTCGTCACCTCCTGTTCTTCTTGGGGAGGCTAGATCTGGAGTCCGTTTGGGGCTCCAGAGAGGGGATCTTTGTTCTTCGTCATCACCTACCCTTCTTCATCGCCAATTCCATGATGCTCCCCACCGGAAGTGAGATCCTTCATAGGCTCGATGGTCGGTGAGGGTTGGATGAGATTCATCATGTAATCGAGTTATTTTTGTTAGGGCTTGATCCCTAGTATCCACTATTTTCTAAGATTGATATTGTTATGACTTTGCCATGCTTAATGCTTGTCACTTTGGGCCCGGGTGCCATGATTTCAGATCTGAACCGTTTATGTTATCACCATTATATCCATGTTCTAGATCTGATCTTGCAAGTTATAGTCACCTACGACGTGTTATGATCCGGCAACCTCGGAGTGACAATAGCCGGGACCACTCCCGGTGATGACCGTAGTTTGAGGAGTTCATGTATTCACCGTGTGTTAATGCTTTGTTCCGGTTCTCTATTAAAAGGAGACCTTAATATCCCTTAGTTTCCAATATGGACCCCGCTGCCACGGGAGGGTAGGACAAAATATGTCTGAAATTACTTCACACACGACAATTGCTATCATGATTCTAGGACGATGGCTTATCCAACGGTGTTGTGCAGTTCTGCCTTTCCAATGGACAGTGGGATATGTTGTGTCATCTTGAAATCGTCCCGGGGTGTCGTCCGTATATCAATGCTTAAAGATGTCATGCAAGTTCTTTCCATAAGCACGTATGACTATTACTAAATACATGCCTATATTATATTGACGAACTGGAGCTAGGGCCATATCGCCCTAGGTTATAATTGTCTCATGATGAATATCATCCAACAAGTCACCGATCCAATGCCTACGGATTTATCTTATATTGTTCTTGCTAAGTTACTACTGCTATCATCATTGTTACACTTGCTATGAAATTACTGCTATCACTATTACCGTTACTATTGCTACTGTCACCACTATCAAAACTATCATATTACTTTGCTACTAATCACGTTGCTGCAGATAATTAATCTCCAAGTGTGGTTGAATTTATAACTCAGCTGCTAATACCTTCAAATATTCTTTGGCTCCCCTTGTGTCGAATCTATAAATTTGGGTTGAATACTCTACCCTCGAAAACTGTTGCGATCCCCTATACTTGTGGGTTATCAGTCCCCGTCACCAGCAGTGCCTCCTGTACAGAACCGGCAACCAAGAGGAAGCGCGGCCCGACCAGGCTGGCCCGCACGCCGAACAGGGGAGGGAAGGCGCCAGATCGCGCGCACCGATCGCCATAGAAGCCGCAGCCGGCCGCCAACGATCACCGGATCCCGCCACCCGCGCGGCCGGGGCACCAGATCCACCGCCCACACGTCTGCTAGCCGGCCGTGCCTTGCCAATGGAGCCGCCGCTCTAGATCCGGGGTTCCCCACGCAGAAGCAGGGCAACCTAGGCCCCGCTGCCACCATCCTTGGCGCCTCGGGCTTGCCCGACGGCTGCCTCAGGCGGCGGCCAGGAAGGGAAGAGGGGGAGTGAGGAGGTGGGGCGGCTAGGGTTGGGAGGAGAGATCTCTTGTGGATCTACATACCTTAAATTGGGGGAGAATTTCACTTCCCCGGCCTCTGCACCAACTAGGGATTCATACGGCCTTTTAAGTATGAGTACTAGGATTTTTAATCTCGGTTACGCATTGAGCCTAGTCCTCAATGATAAATGTGTGAGTACCAGGAGAGCCTAGTCTCCAAGAATAAATAGGAACCTAAATTCGCCTCCGTGAGGATTTGAACCTGGGTGTTGGGTTTGTACATCCACTCCCCAACCTCCTTAGTTTATTTGTATGCTGGAGGGGAATGTGCTTGGTTGGGTTGAGTTACAATTTATTTCGGGAATCAGCATAGGCTACATATTTATTACGTTACGTGCAATAGTTATAAGATTTGCGATTTATTTGTTCCACAATTATAGTTTAGCTGAGTCACCTATTTGGGAGAACAGGGGAACTGTACTTACCAGATTAACAATTCATTCGGTCCGCCATTCGCTACCTCCTATGGATTGGGCGGTAGGGATATGCATCTCTGATTCAAGAGATGAAGGCCGGTGTTCATGAATCAATTGTTTCCTGTCCGATAACACTAGTGCAGGTACTTGAGGATAGTGCCACAATAGATCCAAAATCAATGGGATCAACCAAAACCGTTTGCCGAGGGTGCAAGTAAAAATGTGAGACACGTGAAGATATGGTGAGTACTTTAGGCTTAGGCCACAAGGGCTCCCCTCATCGGTCGTTACTGATGTCACTACCGATAGGTGTCGGGCACTGGTGGGATCTCGAGGGGGCTAGATATCTAATGAGGTAGATATTGGGTCTTGCGAGGCTCCCGTACTTGAGGGAGAGGCAGTCCACGACCAACACTCCCCCACCCGCCCCACCACGTGCTGATTCAAAACATGCTGGCGCGAGACTGGTCACGCTGCTCAAGCTCGCTGTCGTGGAGTCACTTGTTGCGCCATAGGGGCGGTGTGGTGGTGTCATCTCCATGAAACGGGTTGTGCATTTCAGTTTGATCGTTGTTAGGGGTAATTTTGGTTGTACTTCTCCCATTCCCTCATGCCTTACTTTTGATGCAACTTTTTCTCATGCGCTCGAATGGTGGAATGGAGGTTTAGAAGAAAATTTGAATGGGCTCGGTTTGGGTAGCCTAGGCTCGTGTAAGACGACTACTTTGACTTGACCCGTTCCACAAGGCGTACCATGGACCTTGCCGACAATACATAGACTCTTGCGCCACATCTGGGTTCAGGGCCTAAGGCAAGAATGTGGTGAGGGGTGGTGTGGCGGCAGCAGACGATGTGAATAGGAGTTCTTACTATGTAGGGTGGTCATGGTTATTGGCAAGCTGAGAGATGGGTGGGTGGTGGCTTTGTTGGGGATGGAGCAGCAAGATCCGAAG